CAGGGTCTTTTAGATCATTCCACAAGAGTCATGACGTTCCTTCTGCTTTTTGGTTTAGTCTTTCTGCTTGGCCAACATCTGAGCACCAACATCTGAGCTCACTCAGAGACCTAGTCACCTAGCACTGTGCATATCCCTTTTTTAAGGTGTGAGATTTCTAGCTCACTAAATTCTTCCTACAGCTTTTTTGTTCTCACACTTTGCCTTGACTTTTTTCCTTGACCTGTTGGTCTCTGTAAGATGCTATTTAGAGGTGGCTGAAGCTCTGTGAAAGAAGGGTTGATTGGTGAAGGATATTTATGTGAGAGGAGCAACAGAAGACCTCCAAAGGAGCACAGCGTGTTCCTACCATTTTTGAGGTGCAGACTGAACTCCTGCTTTTTTTGTGGCCTGGCAATCTGCTGTCATATATCCTCTTTCAGGCCATGGGATTTCAGTGCCTGAAATAGTAGAAGGATGGGGGCCGAGATTCTGGCTTAGAATTGACTTGGTCCAGTTTTCAGTATGGTAAAAGTCTTTTCACTTTATGCTAGTCACAACTGAAAACATGGCTGCCAGCAGCCCTGAACTGCATGGTCTTGAAACACAGATTCCAGTCTGGATGCCTGAAATGTTGCCATGGGTATTTCTTTAACCAGACCTAATGTATTTCTCAAGAAAGAGTGACATGTATGCAAAGGAGCTAGTACTCCACTCCCAGTTGTGAAGGTTTGCCTCAAACTCAGCTCTGACTCAGGCAGTGTTTTATCCTGAGGGGATAAAGACACCAAGAAAAGCAGAATAATGTGAAGGAAATGACTGTGTTTCACCTCGCATTTGGAAGGAGGAGATGTCCAAAAAGATTGCCCTGAGAGGTTTGCCAGGGTCAGTAACACGAGAGTCACAAATCAGCCCAATGACAGTTTTGAGATGGTTCAACCTATCCTCACAGCCTGTTGTTCCTGAATGTGACAAAAGCTATTGTAAAGCTGGCTTTCTGTGTTACTGTCACACACCAGGGACATGTTACCCTCTGTGAGCTTCTCATGCTGGACACTGATGAAGAGCAGGAAACTTATGGCATTAGAATAGAAGTCATATTCCAGCAGTTGCAAAACACAAGCCACTATCTTGTCTGTCCCTGTGGTTTGTGACTGGCATTGAGAGCATCCTGACACCAACAGTCTCCATCTCTTGTCTACAGTGGTAACTTTCTCTTGGAGCCCTACAGACTGCCTACGGCGTAGGCATCATCTACAAACATCACTCAGTGGCACCCACCATATGCCCAACGGACTTCACATCACTTGCAACTTGTAAGATGGGCCTGTGCCTTCTCCCACACCCCAAGCAGCTGGCTGGTACATCTTTGATCCACCAAACATCCAAGTCCAGCAAAGGGTGATCTGATTACAGGAGAGATGCTGCAGCCGACGGGGTAGGAGCCTTCCCTCACAGGTACCCAGATGGTTCTGCCATCCGACTTCGGAACTGTCTGCCTTGAAGTGTGGTGTCCTGTACCTTGAGTAGTCAAGAGGCCCGAGTTCTCTCAGATAAATGGCTCAGCGTGGAGCAGTGTGGCTTGATGTTCCTGGAGCTGCTAATCCTAATTAACAGCTTTTCTGAGTCCATTTTAAAGCACTCTAGCAGCCCAAGTAGGCTTTAAAGTGAATGGAAATGACCCCATGGAGAGCTCTCTCTGGAGATGTTGCTATGCCGACCTGCTTAGAGCAACTATTAAGAAGTTGCTCTCGGTTGCTCTCTTCCATTCTACAGTATTATTATCATACTGGCTGAGATGGTGCCAGAAGTGTGGCTAGGATGGATGAGGCCTGCCTCTTTTTTTTTTGCTTGTTTGGAAGACATGGGGAGAGGGTGAAGAAACAGGGAGAGAGAGGTAAAATTATGCCAGGCAGCAATTCAAAGAACCAGCAACAGCAACAGGTATAACTACATAGACCTGAGACTCTGCTGGCAAAAAGTTGGGTCCATTTTTCTCTTGTACAATCCTTAGAAAAACAGATTTTCTTTTCCCAAGCACACCTCTTTGCTCAAGGTCTGCAAGCAATAGGGCATTTACCCCGGTTTTCTCACACAGTCTAATGGGAATGGTGCCATTTGCAGCCATGTTGTGCCCCTGATGCTTCTCAGTGCGTACAGCCACCTACTTCCTGACCCTAACAGGCTGACAGAGGTTGTGTTATGCTGTCAGGCGACAGATGCCATTTCTCCATGAGCAGGTTCTGCTGCTGGGGTGAAGAGCTTGGGTCAACTCTCTCCATTAACACAAAGCCGGAGCAACAAAGGTAATGGTGCAGTCACACTAACATCGGTCTGGGATGACAGCACCCAACTTGAACGATGCTGTGATTGCAGTGGCAAAAGCTTTTATGCCACCCCTCTTGCCTTGTCAAGAAAAGAGCTTAAAATTGCTGGCCGTGCCTGTTCTCCTTAAATTTAATCTTCCCAAAGCCCATAAATCCAAGGCATTAAGAGAGAGACAAATCATAATGAATATATTTTAGGAATGTAGAAAGTAACATCTTAATATAGCTTTCTTTTCCTTCTATCCCCCCACCCTCTTTCCAATCACAGTTTCATGTTTTTAACATTTTGGGAGCTGTCAAAGCTTGAAGCGAAATAGTTTGTGCCAGAAAGAAGAGGGAGTTTTCTCCCTCTTGAGGGCTGAGTACTTGGCTGGTGTGAACTGAGCCAGCACTGAGTTTCTCTTCTTCTTCTCTGCCCTGGTGGAGCAGGAGCAGCTGGATCTAGACCTGCCAGAGAGGGATGACCATGGATCATGCCCGCTCTGCTCATCAAGGTTTGGACAGAGAAATAGCGTATTTCAGCAGAAAGAGGAACACATTTCTCAAGATTCATTTTATAAACAGCCTCTCTGAAAACTCTCAGGTAGGGAGTTTCAATGGTGGAAAAGGGCCCTTGGAGAACAAATGCAAAGGCTGTCTCCTTCTGCGCTCAGGTGTGACCACTGGAGCTGTAGCACCCGCGCTAGCCCCAAGGTTTCGTCCTGGTCTGCTTCAGACAGCTCTTGGCTACAAGCCTTCCTGGGGCTGAGGAGAAAAGCAGCCATCCCTGCAGCGCTTACATACCAACGTGGCAGCAAGAGAGAAAAAGCAAAAAAATCCACACTACTATTGCAGGGTCCTTGGTGCTTGACTCATTCTTTGGGCTATACTGTGGTGTCCGCCCAGGGGAGGGATGTGAACCGCGGAAAAGATGATCCAGCAAGAGCGCTCGCCCCAGACGCGCCCAGGAGGCGCGGGGCTGCAAGGCCCGGCCGGCGCCCCTGCCTCGCCCACAGCCCTCTCCCGGAGCGGCCCACGGCCCAACACCCCCGGACACCCCCGG